TTTTTTTTTTTTTTTTTTTTTTTAAATATGCTGCTGTCAGGGAATAAATAGGCTACTGGGTCAGGCAGATCCAGAGTCTGCTCCACAGGTAGGTTCTCCATAAGACCACAGCATTATCAAACCCAGAGGGTTGTCTCTTATATTCTGACAAGTTTTCTGCATCCCTGGAGATTTCACATTTCCAGTTGATCACCTCACCACAGACTATGTCACTACACCCATCACAGGACCTGACATTTTGTGGGGTAACATTTCCTTTAAACGTAATGCTGATAATACAGCAAACAAAATTTTCCTGTCACTGACTACTAAGAGGAATGAACAGCTCCACGGTCTGAGCTGCTCTGCTATTGTAAATTCATTAGTTATACCTCATTTGGACCACTGTGAAGTAATTACATAAAACCCCTCACACAGTACTTTAAACCCTTTAAATATTCTTTACAACCAAGCAGCAAGAGCAATTCCACAAAGGTAATTTTCATAAATATCATTGTAAACTATATGAGGGACTGCTCTAATTACCTTTGGCAAGCTGGTGTGAGAAATGTCTAGCCACCACTATTTGTAAGCCTCTAAATGACCTGGCACAAAGTTACTTAAAAGAACAAATTAATTTTCGATTCAGATGTCCATTCATAGACCAGTAGGTCAAACACTAATAAATGTGTTTGTTCTAACTCGTAATACAGCAGGCCCAATTCTGGAGCGTGTTGTACTCACGCCGGCACAAACAGGGACTAATCCCCCACAATTACTGGGGCTAGACCAGCACAAACAAATCTGTGAGGAGCAAAGAAAATCTCTTTTTTTCCTTTAGTGTCTCTGATTCCTATGGGTGTTTTATAATGGACAAAAAATTACCTAACAAGTCAAAAGACCAAACACAGAATTCCCATTCCTACTGCAGCAAACGTGGTGGCCATCACCAGCTTTGAGAAGACCAAAAGGAACAAGACAGACACAACACTCCCAGACTGTATTCACAACAGATGCGACCAGCGAGGAGGGCAGGAAGAGCCAACCTTTCCCAATTCCTAGATAAGAATGGAGACAGAGCGGGGCAGAGGTACTACATTTTACCAGGTGCCTTTGCAAGAGGAGGCTCAGGGGTGCAGAAATAAGAGCAAAAAGCACCTCTGAACAGTGCTAGGGAATAACTGAAAGTAGCTTGGGTGGGTCATCTCCTCCTACCTTAAATTAATGGCATATCAGCATAGCACAGTGCCAGATGCCCTGGACATGCCCCTCACTAATCCTGCCTGATCTCCTCCCAGGAAGAGGGCAGAGACACTTCCATGCCTTGCTGAAGCAGAGACAGCCCTGGCTGTCATTCGTACGATACGATGTCTCCTCTTTGGAGCAAGGAGGTGGGGAAGGTCAAAATATTGCAGTTGCAGCTTCATGTTAACCATCCATTCACCTGAAGACCAAGTGCTTGCAGCAAATCACCATTTTGCGTTCCATGTTTGTAAGTGTCAGGGCAACAAAATACTGCTTGTGAGTTACTCTGGAGCTGCTCTCACTTTAAAACCCAAGTGGCTGTCAGGGTGTCCCAGTTATCTTCCTTGTCTGCTGATGGAGAACAGGACTGACCTTGGGAAGATGACCACTTAGAAACATGAGAAACACCAAGCATTTTTAGACGGGTTTCCCCATGTCCTCAGGAGCTGCCATATCTAAACAACTGTAACTTGAGTTTTCGCACCGTCCCGCATGTTTTCACTTGGCTGCCGAGATATCCCAGAGCTTATTTCTGAAGCTCCACTTTCTGCAGACCATCCGGGAATGCGTAAAAAGCTTCTCCTCACTCTCAGCCCAGGGTGAGGGCAGAAGACAGTGACAGCCAGGCCTGAATTCACTTCCCTTCCTGAACACTCCCTAGGGAAGGATAAAGCTCTTTCCACTTTCACCGTCCTCCCTTTTACAAGCGAGAGACTTCTGATCTCTAGCATAATGTTTTAATTCATGGCAACACCGAACTCATCAGCAGACAGACTGATGGACTCGCCCAAGGCAGACAGCGCCCTAGCTAGTTGTTTGGGAACCTGTTTGGCTGCTTGATGGTAGGTTTTAAAGATAGAAAGTGATCAAGTAAGAGGTGATAAAGACAGGGAAATGAAGAGGATGAGCGAGGTTAAAATTGAAGTGAAACAGAATCCAACTAAATGAAGGAGTCAGACTCCCCACCTATTTTGTCACCACACCTGTCCTGCAGCTGGCAGCGCTGAGCATCCCCTATTGAAGGTGGGTTTAAAGCTCACAGCATGACCAGAGATGAGTGGGAACCACACTGTGCAGTAGTTATACAGACATGCCTACATACAGGGAGAGAGAGGGAGAGGTATGCTGATGATGTCCTAGGGAGAAACAAATCTGTAGTGTGAAGGGACTACCCGGAGGAGAGTTACGTGGAAACCTGTGACTGCTGGAGACAGAGACCTGTTGCTAAGACCTCAACCTCCTACAGTTTCCACAGGACCTCACACAGCAAACAAGATGGATCTCATGCCAAGATACTGTGACGTCACAACTTTTCCTTTGAAGGTA